ACGATCACACCTAAAATTACAATTTTTTATTAATAATAAATTTAATATATCAAAATATATTATATATAATAAAGCACATAGCCATTGGAAAGTTTATAGATGACTTTGAAAGATAATTTAAGCATTTAAATTTTTAGACTTCTGATTGTTATACTAAAAACAATTCTGTAATTAAAACTTACTGGTTATCAATATCACCGTCATGAATTAATATTTGAGACATGTGGTCGGTAAAATCCATTTTTGAGTCTCTGTCGACAACATTGAGTAAATTGTTTAAACCTATAAAACCATGATGTATATAATTTATGTATGAAATAACTATATTTTTGTGCTATGTTTACCAGTGATTCGCGAGACTTTGTTACTATCTAAAAAATCATCATCAATATTTTCTTCAGGTATCATTGCCTTGGAAGTTATTGAGCTGAAAGAAGGAAATTTATATGTTCTTTAGAGTGATTTCAATGTACTTATACAATTGGTATGCAAAAGACATTTGTACTTGTTTAATCAAAGGTATTAACTATGTCGATGGCATTTCTTATAAAACAAAATTTGATACTTACTTTATTCGATAAGCGTCATGCACAGATTTATCATAGGCATCGTCAATACTTATTGATGATCCTTCGCTTTCAGAGCACTTCATTGAATATGATATTGGGCTGTCAATGTTTCTTTGAATTAAATATGACCGCGTTCCCGATATCGTGTTACAGCGTTGCGCATTCTTCAATGCTACGTAGGTATGATTACTGCATTCGCTCAACGTTCGACTTCTAGTTGGTAAGCTATCGCAGCGTTCTCGTCCATAGCCTAGTAAAATATGAAGCTTTATCAATTTTTCGAAAATAAATATTTATGTTACTCACTGTTGTATTGTGGCGAAAAACTACTTCGTGTTTCAATAGGATTTTGACGTTTTTGTAAAACGTTAATAGGTTTGGACGCCTCATTGGCTGATGAAGATCGCTTTCTCATCGGTTCACTGCTCAGGTCCGAAACTCCCTTTTCTACATTTAAAAGATTCATATTCGACTCCGTTTTAGCAGACATTGCGCTAAAAAAAAAATGTATATATTAATAAGTGAATTAAATGGTGAAAACAAACTGCGTAAGCCATAGTTAGTTTACATATCTAACCTTAATATCTTATCGTGCATATGTTTAGCAACTGCTGCATCCTCTGTTTCCATCCAAAGTTCACCGGCGCCCAAAACACTCTGTCGCCCCAGTTCCATGAAAAAAATGTTTTGTGGAGAGGCGTGACCACATCTGAAATAGTATTGACAGCCTGTTTTAATAAATCATACATTTTCTTCAACTAAACTAATATTGTGACGCACCTTCTTATCGTGTTTAAAAGTATTTCTACTTTATAAATTCGATCAACTTCATTTCCAAAGCATTCAAATGTTAGTGACTTCGATGTTAGGCAGCAATGATAGTTGCCCGTCATCCCAACACTTACAGAAATGCCTTTTTGTTGGACAACAACTTGCCAAACGTGGTCTAAAATACAAATATCGTCAAGAATATGTTAAATTTAAACATTAAAGCTAGCTGATACTATATTTTGAGCTGTTTTTCTGGATTACGAATTCAGAAATATGTAGGTATTGACGTATTTAAGCTAAAAACATACCGTACTCTATCTGAGTTCCGTTTGTATTTCGTTGAATAGATAGCAAGTTAGTTAACCATTTCTTTAAGTCTTCTTCGGAATTCATGACGATTCCAAAGCCGCCAGCTTTTGATGATAGGGCTAAGACATACTTATGTTTGGTGTCAAGTCGTCGATTTATACTAAAGCAATCTGCCACATATATTTCGCGTTTTGGTGGTGCATTTTGAATAAATTTCTTTTCACTATCGTAATACACCAATCTTGCTTTCTTAGTTCTTGTTTCCTTATACAAAACAAAATATTTCTTTTTCATTGTTTTCAATTTCTTTTGATATTCCTTTAGTACTATTCCGTTGTCTGACATGGAAGCCATCATAAATCTACCCGCCTTCCAAACCTGCAAATATGGAATATGAAAGAAATTGTTAATATACAATTGTTAATATACAAATGTAATTGTTAATATACATACAAAACCATGTTATTATTTCAACTATGATCATTCTTAAAAAGAAAATAATATATCAGAAGAATTCTTGATAAACAAATTTGCAGAGACCTTGTTAAACTGTCACAACATATGACAATAAAGACATATAATAATAATTAGCTCGGATTGTATTATTAAATTAAAATATAAATGACCTTTCAGTGGAGAAAACGGCGGAAGAAAACAAATATGTATGTATGCATATATGTATTTGATCTTGATCTGGATCAACATTCGAGTCTAATCTTGTATATGCTTGGGCTATCACAGCAACGTTTTAAAACATATACATTCTATATTTCCTATGTGCTCAAGTTAGTACAAGCTAATCATACCGTTTATATGTACATTTCACTTATTTGACATTGATAAAATCGAGATGTCGATTTTTTAACTTGACTAGATAATAATTAGTTTGGCTTACATATGTAAAACGCGCATATTTAGACCCTAAAATGAATGAAATGCCACTTTAATAAAAAAGGAAAACAATTTACGCCGTGGAAAGAGGTAAACGCAAAAGCAAACGCATAAAGTGCGCAGCAGGCGCCTAGAATGCGTTTCTCTGTGCGCTCCAATGATAGGTCAGTTTTGCAAAGGGTATCTGCTAGTTGGACATTTACGTTACAGGTTTCATACTTCCTTTTTTTTTTTTAATTTAACCTTTTGCACTATTTCTTAACTTATCTAATGCACTTGGGGACGAACCAAAGAAGTTTTGAGCCATATACATACGTTTCTTGTTTACCTATTGCGTGTTAAGTATTTCGTTATCAATGACATAAGTAGTTTCTGTATGGGAACACTTTGTGCGCACTGTGTTTATTCCCATTTCCGAGACACTTATAAAAATATATTTAAAAGTCCAGCTCCAGATCTAAACAATGTTTCGTAATCAATACGAAAGCAATAATAATGCGATTTGTAAATAAACTTTGAAATTCTTTGACTTGGGTGTATTACAAGCCGCAGCTAACAAAAGTTTAAACTAATTTTACATACTTTTTAGATTTGCATTAATGTAACTACGCATATGTGAATGTGTTTGTATCATATTTAGCATTAACAACATTGTATTAGTCAACAGACATGTATACATATGTACATATACATTAAATGAATATATACATATGTACGTTTATAGACATACGTACGAAAGTAGGTGAATGTTTTTAAATGCTCAGCTGTAAAGATACATACACATGTTTGTATGTATGCACGAACGTACGTAAGCTATTTAGATAGGACGAATTATCTATCAATTATCTAATCAATTTATGTTATTGGCATAATTGCTATAAATGTTTGCATTCCATTTTTCTTATAATGTTAGAGACGAGTGACATACATATGTACATATGTATCTTAATAACACTAATGCTCATGTTATGGACACGTTTAGATTTAACTATGTATGTAACTTGTTGTGGTTTTCACAAATAGCGTATGGGTAAAGCCAATATTTTTTAGAGACGAGTTTCAAGACTTTAAATACAATTGCGCGTATAAATATTTATATATAGATGTCTGTATGCATATGGTACAAATAAATATATATTATACATTGAGATGTATATGATATTAACTTTAGCGAATCACTGTTTACACTACATAATTATCCGATATGTACACGCATTTAACGTTTATATATTTTCGTTATAAATAAGTGCAAAATACATACTCCGAATACAATAGGCATATATTTATGTATAAATTAATAATGTAATGATTCCCGAGATATAGTGGTGGCACTATAATATATCGAATCTATCGAGGAACGTATAATAAACCACGTTGTGTCACTGTTAGAGCTGCACATTTTTTTTATTTATTAAAATATTTTTAATTTACATCCAACCTCTTTTGACTATCCAACCTGTTTACCGATATATGTAGGTCTGCGGGTCCGGACATATTAAGTGCAAATCTTTCTAACAAAATATACCAGAATAAATTGAATGTTATTCAGATCTGTAGCAAAATGTCCTATCCATTTTTTGTATTAAAGTACTTCTGATCTTGTATGTATGTACATATTCGATCCGCGTCTAAGTATATAATTAGGACTCTCGGCATCAATATGCTGATATTTGATACTTTTCATGGTCCAGGTCGGATATCCTGTTATGAATATATACTATAAGATTCGGGATTGAATATTTATTTTTCCGATCTTACAAAAAGCAGAAATTCAAAATGTTCTGCTTCGATTTTTAAAAGTATTTGTCTCGTTTGTTCGCCTATAACGATCACACGTTACAGCCCCGCGAGTGTTCCATTTCCATTTCCTGTCCGATGTGAATCGATGTTAAAAACATCCAAATAATTTTTGTTGTGCTTGTGGGCGGTAGGTAGGATAAAAGGTACAGTTCCCATTCCCTGCACAAAAACTCTACATGCGGAGCAGAACGACCAAAACACACTTCAATTTCACTTCGATTTACTTTTAATATTTCAGGACCTTCAATGAATATGATTTTAAGCCTACGTACCAAAAACTGGCACTAGTTTAAAACAAATGTTTTTAATGAGCTATGCTAGTATTTGTTTAAAAGCTTTAAAACAAAGAATAACAATTTAAAACCTATCCTGCATTTACAGGAAATAATTGGACTTTTAACGATCACGATGAATTGCAGGCTATCGATTAATTTGATTTTAAAAATTGTCCTTTTATGTTGAAATACCTAAAATAATAAAATATGTAAGCGGCGTACTAAGCTTAAAAATGTCTGTCGTTTTCAAGTGTTTAGAAAGGAGTGAAGATGATTTTTATTTATACATGATCAAAAAAATTGTTTAATTTGATATATTTTCGATTAACAAGTAAGAATTTTAACAAATTACAAATCATATAACAAAAGATTATATTTATTGTAGATGTACGTTATTAGTGAGATTCAGAATGAATGGAGTGTTTATATCCAATAAGAATTTTAGTTTGTTTTGGATTTGCGAACTATGCTGCACCGTAGGCTTGTTGTGCACAGTGCAGCAGGATTATTGTACGGAGCTATCGAAAAAGTCATTGAGCATGATTTTGGGTCAAGCTTTCAATCCTCGATATATGAGCATTGATCCACCGAAGAGCGGAAGCAACGAAAATAACCAAAATTCAGGATCAAAGAGATCCGTTTTGGATGTACCATTCTATGCTGATGATAATGTCGTTTCATTAGGCAGTTTCCCCGCGTGGGAAACAAACCATTTCTCGTATTTTGCTAAAAACGAGGAAGACTCATTAAAGAGGAAAACCATAAGCATAAGAAATGTCTTCATGGACAAGAGCGGTCATGGAAAACCTGAAGTTTTCAAAACCCGGCCATGGGAATGCTCTTCAATAATAAACTGGATCGATCTGGGCTTAAATTACTTTCCGCGCTACATTCGATCCATTGAATGCATTGCAAAAAAATGTTGGTATGGACACTTCAAATGCAAACCCAAATCATTCACCATAAAAGTGCTGCGTCGTAAGCCGGGCTCATGTATTCATATAAGCGATAAATTAATTCTCATAACTTCGGATGAATACATCAACGATTATACGCAACTCTGGATTTGGGAAGAAATCGCTGTTAATTTTTGCTGTGAATGCGTGATGTTATATTAAGATAAATTAAAATATTATTTATGGTCATTAAAATAAACAACATTGTATTTAATTTAACAAAAAACTTTTATAGCATTAGGCACAATTGACACTTGAATGGGTCGAGGCTCGTATTCCTCTCCGTCTATAGAGTAAAAGATTGGCTCATCACTCACTGTGGGATACAGTTTGATAGTTCTACTCTTGAGTACCAAATTAGGTTCAACAGTTTTATTCGTAATTTTTGGTATATTTTTAATGAAATCCCATCCGGGCTGCAGGGAATCAATAAATTTACTTTCCAATTCCGAAAAATTCTCCTCGTTGTGACTAAGATTAATATTAATTTGATTGGAGTTAATGCAACCACTAAGTTTCGTAGCGCAGCTATCGTTCTTAATTAGTTTTTGCGTAGAGGCCCGGCTCACATTTTGTGTTTTAACGAGTTTGCTCAAAAAGAATCCTTTCGTGGGCTGATCTTCAACTTCGGCACAACAATTGCTGCAGCCAGGGCACGGCGGAGTGTAAACATAATCGGTCTTCGAGTCCCAATTGGCAGTTCCAGAAAATGATCGGAAAAATGCAGCCAGATGATGTCTTAGCGGACCTACATACCAATATTTGTCCTTTAGGGTGTCGATATCTTTCAAAAGGCCCCACGAAAAACCATTTATGCCAAAAATCGGCTTTAAATTGTTGCTGGGGCTGTTGCCCTCATTGTTGTTCTCTTCATCGAGTACATCATATTGAATGACATCAGCATATTTATATTGGTTATTCAGTAGAGGCAACAGAGCCTTACACAACGACTTCACAAACTCCAGTTCGCTCCCAAAGTTAAAGAAATTGAAGCCAGATGTTTTTTCCCGTCCTAGCGGAAGGAGGGAAATGGGGCATATCTCGCCCTGACGACGCAACAGTCCGGTAACCACCTCAGACTTTGTACCATCTCCACCGGCGACAACAATAACATCTGGTAGGGTATTCATTTCCTCGACATATGTTTTGGCGTGTCCGATGTGGCTCGTTCGCAGTATTTCAACAGAAAAGCCAGCTAAATGCAATAGAGGTTCACAGTATTTTTTGAACTGAAAACAAATTTGCTAAATCAAATAAATTCATTCCATTAATTTTTTATGTATGAAACCTTACCAAATTTTCGGCCTTTTTCTTCTTGGCAATTGGATTCATAATCACAAGCACATTTTTTGGAAGGACATTTGTTGCTTGATTACTATGCAATACTTCATTTGATAATTTGTTCATATAAAGTTTAATACTGAAAAGACATATATGTACATGTGTAATTTATATAAACATCCATCCAATTATTCACTTACTCTAATTTGCTTTTTATAGTGGATGCTCCATATCCAACTACACATGACAGAAAAAGACTTTTCTTCCAATTATTTCTGATCAACTTCAACGTGTTCATCCTTCTAGAATTCTTATGTAAACGAGAGCTCTACATAAACTATAAACAAAACCTTATAAATTTACTGTTCAATGTACTTATTTTGTTGAACACATGATTTGCACTATGTAGCATAGAATTTACGATAGGTGGAATGGAACGTGCGATGTCTCTAGAATGTGATTGTTGCGATATATTTCTGCTGCTAGCGATTTCGATGTATCGCGAATATTTCATTTATTCATTTCAGGAAACTTAAAAAATTCCCTAGTTAAAATTTAAACCTATAATAGAGAAAATTATTTTTCGATTGGTTTCTATAATTTATTAAAAAAGTAAAACGATAAGCAAGTTTGCTTTTCACACTAGTGAAAAGAAATAGAACCGTTTTTTGTTTAATAATCCTTCAAAGTACTTGTAACAATTAAGATGGGTAAATCGAGTTCATCCCTAAGAAGCAATTGTATCTTATTTTATTTATAGATTGCAATTCCGAAGCAGAGAAAATGGAAACGGTATATTTAAAATATTTAATATATGTGTAAATTTAATATAATAATTTAAAATTAATAATAATTTAATTAACAATGTATAATAATAATTTTATTTGAATATGCATACGAATTTATTTCGTTTTATCAGAATACATAATTAATATGACCAATATTCTTTTCCTTTGTTTACATTTCAGCTTAAAAATTCACCCACCATTAAGGCGATTACGGAACTGGATGTTAAGTTGACAGACCGTTTTGTGACATATTTACTGCAATTTGCATCCTTTAAGTCTCTTAGGATACACTGCAAATTTCTTGAAATATCTTGTGATGGAATAGCCTGGCTTTGCACATGGGTTGCTTTCATATGGCTAATAAATTCGAAGAGCCTATACCAAATGCAAGTTAATATGCTGCTTGGATTACTATTAGATATAGTTGTTGTGGCTGTTTTAAAAGCACTCGTACGTAGACGACGACCAGCAGCTGTTAAGGATTCACTAGTCATTGGTCCGGATAAGTTCAGCTTTCCGTCGGGACACGCATCCAGAGCTTTCTATGTTCTAACCTTCTTTACCAAATTGCATACGTTGCCAGTCATATTTTGGATGCCGATGACTGCGTGGGCCGTTAGCGTTGTAATCTCAAGACTAATATTAAAAAGACATTTTATTCTGGACGTTAGTGCTGGGGCATTGATTGGAATATGTGAAGCACTGTTTATTGGACTTATTTGGATTAGTGAAGAAACAGCCGCTTCTTTCCTTGGCCTTATAACTGAAGATGAATCTGTTTAGCAAGTAAAACGAAAAATGTCTTATAAATACTTTTTTAATGCATTGATGGACTAATAATATTACGAACATACGCCAAACATGATTAATTTATTAATTGTCAAAGTGATTCATCAAGTGAAGTTGTTATATTTGTTAACGAACTTTGTTGCTCGTATAAATGCTCTTATCAGAAACCAAATAAGATTGTGAGAGAGGCAGAGAAACTTTATTTATACCTTAGATAAGGTTAAAGGTCAATTGAGATAGTTTTACTTTTAGACTATATCGTATGTATAATTTAAAATATTTAGAGTTTTGTAAATAAAACGACAAAAGCAATTTGCACATTAAACAGTATGATTTTTATTTCTTGTTGTTGTGATTATTATAAATATTAATAAAGTGTTTGTATTGTTGATAGGCGTAAGGCTAAATAACTGTCTTATTAACAAATTATTTATGCTCTATCGGTTAACATTGTGCGCCTCATAATCCATGACTTCTTCATAGATGAGCTCCTTCCACTGCTCAACAGTATGCTCTCGTTCATCGACGCTATGATCATATGGCTCTGGAGCAGGCTAATTAAAAAGAAACAAATACAATATAAAATGTATTAAATACATGCTATTATTATACTATAAATTGTTTAATACTAAAACCGGATTAAAGAGAGACAATGCCAAAACAGATGACTCTATAATGGCAAGAGTTCAATATATAAGATATTCTAATTCTATATTCACTGCTAACTGGTTGTGTTTATACTTAAAAGTTCTATCTTAAATATATATATATGTATATGATATATTATAGGGATGTTAATGCACATTAGCTCTTTCTATCTCAGAGGAGTACTAACCACTAAACTTTGAATTTGTCATATTTCTGAGGATATAGTATATATTATTGAAAATGACAGTTTTTATATAAATAAAAATATAATTTCCTTAATGAATTCTTTATAGTATATACAAATATTAAATATATAATAGTTTAGGCTTTTTTTTAAATTTAGTATATCAAATACTTACAGCATCAACTTCTTCGGCGTCATACCATACATTAATGTATTCATGCTGTAAAGCTCTATCCACTGATATTCTCTGTTCAGGGTCAATTACTAGCATCTTGCTAAGTAAATCCCTTGCCTCAGAAGCCTTTCTTCGGCTATTTTGACTATTATCGTTAGGAAACAGACCATCAGGAAAAAGCCTATCAAACGCATATCCAGTATATCTTGGACGATTCTCAACGTAATTGCGAACTGTTGGCTGCAGACGCTGCATAAATGATGGGGACGGTGTGCCCAATTGCTCTGTAATTTACAAATCGAAATAATTATATATTGAACAAGTTCTAAATTAGTTGTCTCTTCTTGTTTACCAATTATTTTATTCCACTGATCAATGTGATCAGTTCCAGGGAAAAGTACTCCACCTCTAATCATCTCACCCATAATGCATCCCACTGACCAAATATCTACATTTTCGGTATATCCCATACCTAAAATGACTTCTGGGGCTCTATAATATCTAGTTACGACATATGGAGTCATCATAAATGTAGTTCCAGCTGTGCGTGCAAGTCCAAAGTCCAATATCTTTAGAGTACAGTCGGCCTTAACAACTATATTGGAAGGTTTTAAATCCTGTAAAAAGAGAAAATGTTTGGTTTAAGAATTTCGATAATCAACAAAATCATACTCATATATCTATTATTTGAAACATAAGAACGATCACAATAAACAATACTTAACTCTATGTATAATTCCAGCGGAATGCAAATGCTTAATTCCACAGAGCATTTGGTATAGCAAGTAGGACATTCTGTCGTGGTCTAAATCCATTTGAATAACCTGACATAAATTAGCATCCATTAGCTCCATCACAAGATAAACATCCTGAAACTCCTCCAAATTGCGTTGAGGGGTGAACGCATTGAGCAAACCAATGATCTACACAAATGCATAAATATATTAAAGCATTTCATTTTCAATTGTAAAACAACACTTACATTTTTATGGTTCACTAACTTCATTAGCTTAAACTCTCTGTAAGCTCGCTTAGCGTGTGTCACATTTTGGAATGGGCGAGACAGTTTCTTTATTGCGACATTTTGCTCGGTAACCGTGTCATAGGCAGCACTGTAAATGTATTAAAATTGGTCTTTGTGAAGCGATTCAAATGATAAACAAATATTATGTATATGCTACATTTGTTTTAATTTCAATTTTCATAAATAGTATTCTGGTATATTAACCAGATTTAAAATGTTACTTTCAACATTCGGTACCCCAGTTATTATTAAATTTTCCCTTTTTACTTACCACACAATGCCTTGAGCACCAGATCCAATAGGCCTTAATTTAATATACCGACTAAGAATTGTAAAATTGGTATCGCCCACTTCCACGGTATAATGATGAGCGGCCATAGTCAATACGTTATATTAATATTAGTGTTAAATACAACTACTGACCATTTCGACCTGAAATATAAAAATGGTAAAAATATACATATTTAATAAAATAAAAATACATTGATAAAAAAATTCATATTAAATAAATATTTTTACTATCTTATTACCGTCCTTAATGGTATCATATTTGGATAGAATGAATTATAGACATTATAGACTAAGAATTAAATAATTTATTTCTCTAAGACCTTAGTACAACATCCCTGCAAATAGTACCTCTTGCTATGCACCTAAAATATAACAGAAATTTCATTTCCATTTCAATTTCGGAGCGGCAGTTTATTCAACTTGTATATTGTAAGGAGATTACGCAAAAAAAAGAGTATATTGGTTACAAAACTATCTCAAGTTACGCAGACTTGATAAACTTAATATGTAAATTTACTATAAAAATTACTTTAGGTGCTACAATTAAAAACTTGCAACTTTACCGCCTATATAGCTAATAGTTTTTATTTTGGGAATATTATGTGGGCTGGAAATTAGATATACTTTCTGCTTTATTTCGCACCCAATAAATTGTAAATATCGATTCGGAATATTAGATACCTATTTGGACTATAATAGTTTTTTATCATGTCGGCAGGAATCAATTGTTTACAAATATGACATACATTTTAATTTGTTTACAAATATGACATACATTTTATCTTCCTGTTTCTCGTCGATAATATAATCAATGAAATATATACAAAATGGAACCCACAAACAAAATGACAAAAAAAAAAGTTTTCATCATGTTTATTTATTTAATAATTCTATACAAAGCTTACGTATATTTTTCTACCGATAACGAAGCACAAATTTTACAGCCAGGCCTAGTCGGCGCTTCTGCAAAAATCCATATTTCTTAGTCATAAATTTCGTGATATATTTTCTCTTTCGGGCAGGTCTTAGAATCTTATCGGAGAAGTATATCAATTGTTTCTCTCTCAGCTCTCTCATTCGTTTATGCATTTTAACACCGTTTTATTTAACTTACTTTTAGTTGAATCGTAAAAATATGCACTGATATTTATGTTCACAATGGTAAAATCGATACTTATGTACATACATAGATATTTATGTTCACAATGATAAAATCGATATTTATATACATATGTACATACACAAAAAAAAACTCCACGCAAAAAAGAGTTACATACAGATTATAATGAATAGTAAGCGTCGTTTTTTTTTTCATTGCTTGCACGTTTCTAAACATTTACATGTAAACAATTTAATAGTCTGCTTTTCACTTTTTCGCAGTTTTATAACAGTGAAAAAAAGATATAAATGTAACAAACACTATAATATCTACTTTATTCACGCAAATTTGATGTACACACACAAATGTTTTGTTGTACTCAATCCATTGATGAATTCGATGTAAATCAATATTATCAATCAGGAAAACAATGTAATTTATACAAATGATAAATTTTGTTTGGCATACACATGCATAATTATATTTACCTTAAATATATATGGCAATTAATTTATTTCGATATTACTAAATTGACAAGCCGCGTGCTTAACTTAACTTGTTAATTTATTTATTATTGTATTTTTATAAAATCTCAGATAGACAATATGTATATCATGAAAAATTATTTTAATTTGTTTCATACTATACTAAAGTAAGACCTTTTTATAGTTTCTCAAAAATACTGTACTGTACTGTAAAATACTGAAAAGGTCAAACTATCGAGCATTGTATTTTTTTTTAAACAAATCTTACATACGTTGAAAATTAACACAACGAAGTTTTTTGTTTTAAATTGTTTTCCGTTTTTAATAGGTGCAGAAAATAATTAGCGAGCGAGAATCTTAGAATTCAAATGCACAAAAACACATCCACAACTAAATTTACTATACATAGGCAATAATATATATTCATACTAATTTATAATGCGTAAATATTGTTTAGATTAATATTCCATTTATAAAACATATATTAATAGACATAAAGACATAATAAATAATACTTCAATTGATAGTAATAATGTATTTAAATACCTGTTTGGTATTTGTAATAATAAAATAATATCGATGATAAATATAATACGTTCCATCGATAGCTTCTGTTTTTCTATTCCTAAATTTTTTTTTGCATTGGCGGCAACCATTAAGCTTTTGTAAATTGTATTCTTATTTATATCGAAGGAAGAAAGTCGTTTAAACATAATTCAACAGGAGAGTAACTTAGATTTAATAATAATCTTTAAAATTATATACATATATAAAATTTCGAATTTTATGTATGTAAATAAGGAATAAGATAAATCGAAGAACTTAGCAACATATAATATATTGAATTGAAAAATATTCCCTAATATTTCGAAATATAAAGAAGCAATAGTTATTCTTTTAAAATATTTATAAGTTGCTACCCATCAAAATGTTTTGATATAAACCTTCCCATATCTATTGGTGTGCATAACTATTCCACTGCTGAAATTTTAAATATCACTTGTCAGCACAATCACAAATTTACATATTATTAAGTCTTTCTATAAAAATTTAGCCTTTTTCAGTGCCGGGGAATATCATAATATTCGTATGATTTGTATACAATAAATGGAATTCACTTAAAATATTCTGTTAGTTCATATACATATAATCTTCTTCCAACCCA